CCCCAAAACCCCAAAACCCCAAAACCCCAAAACCCCGAGCATCCATAAAAGTACTAATTGTTAAATTTCAAATAATTTAATTTAAAATCTTGGTCATATTATTTCGCATCAATTCCTATTAAGTGTAAGTTTAAACTTTGACAATGATTTTTATATCTCCTCCTTTTATTTTTTATTTCTATTAAGTCCTCTTGATAGTATTTGAAGATCTCTTTTCAAAAAGGGTACATTCCTATCAAACATTGGCTCTTCTCTGATTGAGTTTCTGCTAATATCGTTTATATTTTCTTTCGAGTAATCTAATGTCATTGTCATAGAATTTAAGTAATTAGTGGATTCCAATTTATCGAAAGATTGGGTGTCTTGAAGTGGCCTTAGATTTATTGCTCCTTTTCTAAACTATTCGATTTCTTCTAATTACAAATCATCTTAGTTATCATACATTTTATTGGTTTTGGCAGATAAGTTAGCTTTACTCAAAACATCTTTCGGATATTCATAATTGCTTACATTCTAACTATCTATAATGGTAAAGGAATCTATTCTAGCTTTCCGATTAGAATTTGACTTCCTTTTTAATACTCTGAATAACTGATTCAATGGCTCAACCATAATTATTACTATATTAATCAAAAAATAGAATAATGTTATAACAATTGGCAAATAGCCTAGTAAATTTTTCAGATCTAATTCCTACTACGGATCAAGAAATAGCAAAAATACATAATTTATCAATATAACGCATATTTCATTGAATACCTCAACAATATTTTGGAAGTTGCTAGCATAAGGTCAAGAAAGCATGACATATATTATAACGAGCAATGAAAGCTAAATAGAAATAACCAGCTGAAATTAAGGATACTAATCAAGAAAAACAAGAGCACTTCCAAAAGCCATTCTTCTAAATAATGCTATAAAAGGATATATAATAGCACTTTCACTTTTGATGTTTATTCCCTCGTATACTGTACCAATGGATCTTATCAATCGTTTCTACTATAATTATTTTTTGTTCTTTGTCATTACTACTGAAACTATGATTGGGAGAAAAATAAGATTCAAAAGCATTCCTCCAGAGACAAACAGGGCTGACAGTTCTCCAAGTGTATTTGTTTTTATCTAAATTTATAAGATCTTTATAAAAAATACATTTAGAAGGTTTATTTGAGAGCAAATGGTCAGCTCAAGATAGGACTCAAAGCTAAATCGAATCACACCATTCCAATAAACTGAAAAATACAGGCAGTTTGTAAGTTTTGACAATCTATAAATTTGGTGAATTATTATTATTGAAATTATGATACTTTTTGCATCTAATGTGGAATAACTTAAAAATCAAAGAGAAAATACTGATTATCAAATAAACTGAAATCATTATAAACAGAGTGCCAGCATTCTGGATAATATTTGTTGAGTTATATCTATAAAAGGTCATTAATTGAATGAGATTACCCCATATTATTGAAGTAAGCATTATAAGGTAAATCTTCATCATCTTCATCTACAATATACTAATTGATGGTATCCACTGGGATTAGGTTAAAGCTTGAAATTTCATTAATGAGCGAGTAAAAGTAAAATGTATTTGAAGGGACTGGAAGACTCATCATTGGTAAATGGGTCATTATTTAAAAAGCTTTAAGTGCTCCCCAAAGTTATTACAAACTTAGACTCCTAATAACAAAAGTATACTATGGCAAAAAGTCTTACAAAAATGCATTGAGGATCAAGTTCGTAGTCAGTACAATAATAGTTGAAGATTCCATTGCCTAAGCTAGTAATTAAAGTGAGGATGTATCCACTATTGATAAATATGAAGGTGAAATGAAAAAGATTACTGTCTAGTGAAATTTAAGGAGGAAGCTTTGTTTTTATTTCATACTCGTAAGGGATTCGAGCTTGGAAGTCACTACTAATGTATGTTGCTGATTAGTTGAATTGGATAAATAATGTATCTGCTTATTAGGTTTAAGATACTGAATTTGGATTTTCGATAATTAATCAGATTGTGAGTATTCGCTACTCAAATTTTATAAATTCATAACCAATCTCTTTATACTAACTATTTTCTTCAGAAAACATTTTTATCTTTAAACTATGATTAAAAACCTCAATGACTGTGTCTGGTGTATGCATTACCTTGCTAAATATTACTCTGGCTATTCCATCAAAGCTTACCCTTTATATTTTAGCTGTTAAAGATTATTATATTTTCTCATATGAATTGCTTTTACTGTTTGAATCCTCTGACACATTTTACTTCACTTAGATTGTTAGGGTGTAAGCATTGCTTAGAATGCCATTCTTATTGTCATCCTCTAGTTTAATACTAATAGGGTAATTTCCTTGATGCTTAGCTTAGTCTGGTGAAAAATAAATTACCTGTCCTTTTAATCTAGAGAAGACAATAGCCGATTTTAATTCAATAGTCACTTAGATGTTATCATTTTCTTGATCAAAAGCCTCTGGCAATTGATATTCTAATTCTGATCCGATGTTTATAATCTATTAAACAAAAGCCACTTTATAATAAGGAGCAGTATTTTCAATTTTATTATATCCAATAAACCCCTTACTAGAAGGTGGGGGAGGAGGAACGTATTAAAAAACAGTAATATCGATTTAATATCATGTGATTGTATTTTAGATATCATCAAATTAACCCTCTAGCAATAAATTGTATATAGATGCATCGTCATTATTATTTGTCTGGATATCAATAGTCAAATTTCCAGGATGAAAGATCATAAAACTTGGAATAGAATTCAGATCTGCTAGTCTCAGAGAGTAAAGAATACCTGTAGCACAGTATGAGGGTGAGTAACTCATAGGATTAAGGATAAGTGAAGCTCTATTATCATTAACAGAATAACTAAACATCATGTCCATTGGAGTGAATGTGGAAAATTCTGCTAAGCATTTGTCGGCTACAGTTATACTAACCTAAATATATGGACTTTAAATGGATGAGTACAAATTTTAATGCTAATAACCCCCAGGTAATAAACCTCCTTTTATTGTCAATGTATGTGGCCCAATATCAGCAGAAGTGGCCAGGATATTTATGGGAATACCTTAATTGTCCTAAAGTTAAGCAGTATAAGTTGTTGCTGTTGTAGTAGAAGTAAATTAATAAGCAAAGCCGGGATTGTCAGAACAAACAGGATTAGTAGTCCATAAATCAATGTGTACTTAGCATGCTGTATCAGTGTAGCAGGTAATAGGCGCTGGATTAATACCAGTTGTAATCATTGAAATGAATCCTAGATGTCCACAATGTGTATTTGAAGTTTATTATGTTTAATCCATATCACTAGTTGTCATAGTTGTCATTGTAAAAGCAGTTGATGATGAATAGCCATTGTTTCCTACATCAAAAATAGAGATAATGGTTTCTTGTGTCATAGTAATACTTGAATGGCTACTTTAAGAATAGGTATCACAAAGAAAAGTTGAGTCACTAGTTGAAACAAATGCTTATGTATAAGAATTAACATTAACATTTCCTGCATAGAAAAAGTTTGTATCGTCAATAAAATATATCTAATTTATCAGAGTCTAATCTTGACTAGCTCCTAGTATCACGTAATCAACTAGATATAATTAGGCAGAGTTTGAGGTAAAAGCATTGCTTGTTACATATAAATAAGTCTTTGTATCAGTTAATGAATCAATGGTTCTCACTGCCATCTTCATTGAAGAATCACTACCCACAAAGCTATCCAAGCAAGTCATTGGTATGCTTGGTTTTGTGAGATACCAAATAGTAGGATCATATGTAAAATCAGTAAATATAATTGTCCCCAGATATCTATCAGTCACCATAAGCTAAAATGAATCTATACAGCCTCCGTATTTACCTGAATTCTCATTATTATCTGCTGGAGTAAGGGTAGCCCATTTCGCATCTTTAGCTTATGCTGAGAGTACTAATTTTTTACCAAAACTCTTACTACCAGTAGACAGGTCAAATTTTTGTAATTGGATCAATCTAGTCCTGTCAGAGGAAGACACGTAATGGTGGCCAATCATCCATATTTCACCTTAATACAAATAAATTCCATTAGTATAACTTCTGCTCCATGGATTATCTACTCTCCATTGTAAAGCTCCTGATATTCCATCTAATTTAAAGAGATAAGCATCCCAGCCACTATCTGTGTAAATGTAGTAAATTCCTCTATTATCATCGATAGCAATACCATGACTTGTAATATGAGCACCTGACAGAGATCCTGTAATTGTAAACTTATTCATAACTCCATTTTCTGTTTCAACCATGTAAATTTCTAAGCCTACATTGTATATGCTGAATGCATAGTATTCACCTGATGGTTAAAATCTAATTGCCTTAACTTGTGTATATGAAGAGATGAAATGCTTCATATATATGACTCAATTGAATATTAAATCATACATTCCATATACTTTCCCATAATCGCCACTGCCAGTGTTATATCCCTCTAAAAAATACTGCTTAATTTATAAGAGACAACATATATATATATTTAGGGCAAACTTTATACGTACCTCCAGCAAATGCAAGCTTTCCTGAAGAATGATGATCTATGACACTGAATGAGAAATGATTAGTTGTTCCATCGCCATAAATTATAGGAAATTACCTTTAGTCGAAACAATTTGTAGCCTAAACACCTCTATATCCTTATCATAATTAATTTCTTACATTTAAGGTTTCAAAATAAATACGGAAAACAGCCATATCATTGATTTCAAAACGCTGCAGGAAACTTTAATAAGAATAACCATTTAAGTTTTTATATACTATAATCTCTCATGTATTACTATTTGTATACAATTTTTTATTTATATTAATTTAAATATTTTGGTATAATTACATAACCATTATCAATTTGGTAATTTTCTTGTTGGAAAATTGTATTTTCAGAATTCATAAACATATCAATTTTATAAAAATTAGTTGCACGGGGTTTTGGGGTTTTGGGGTTTTGGGG